GACAGTATATCTGCAAAATAATCATAAAAGAGATCAATTTCACAATTTTTCTATTTTTTTCCTTTCATGTTAGAGTCATTATTGTCAAAATATGGTGAAATTTTCTTGTATAGTAAAATCCTACTAACTAATGCTCTTTTCCTACATAAAGTTTATCATATTTATGTTATAGCTTTTTATCATAATTTCCCCTCACTTCTCTTACCAGAAAATGTATCCCACTGGCTGAAGTGTGCTCTGGCCAGAGATTACCGGGACCACAGCTTTAGTCACATGGAATGTAATGGATTCCAGAATAAGTCTATCTACAAACCATACCTGACTTGTTCATCAGAAAGTCATGTTCTTTTTTATTTTAAGTTTAGTATTTTGTGCACGTGCAGTGTATGTAAGAATTGTGAGTGTGGTGGGAACATTGCTGTATGTGGGTGTTTGTGCGTGTGCACCTTTGGAGACCAGAAGAGGATATAGTCCTTCTGAATTACTCTTTGCCTTCCTCCCTTGAGACCAAGTTGCTCCCTGAACGACGAGCGAGGCTAATAGTCATCCCCTGGTTCTGTTTCTCTAGGGATCCCTGGCTAACGCACTAAGAAAGCAGTATGTTAGGTAAATTGCCAGAGTAGAAACCTAGGAAGGGGCATGAACAGTCCAGTATTGCAGTAAAGCTCTCAGTGCACACAAGTTATGCCTTTCACAGTAATTTTCAGACATCTATTTGACAACTTTCTAAAGTAGGAACATAGAAATGATCACAGGTCATGTAGGTGCATGTTAGAACATACTATTTGCCAATGGAAGTGAAACATTTTTGTGAGACAAGGGAATTGGTGAACCAGGGTTGAAACTGACTCAGCTATAAAGAAAGGTAGGTATTAGCAGGTGACATCATACTAAAATACATGTCAGTCTCCATGGAAACTTGCTGTGTAAAGAAGCTCTCACTGTTAGCCTAATGTGTCAGCTTGTGTCCTTGCTACTGGCACACATAAACACAGAGTTGGTGATAATCTTGTTACGTGTTTTAGCAAGTATGATAGCAGCTAGTCAATCTCTAATACTACAGTCATTCACACTGGTCCTGAGTGTAAACACGGTACTGTTTATGTATGGAAATCATCTTACCTGGGGAGATGGCACAGTGAGAGGGAGTGCTCGCTGTACATATGTCTAGTGGTGCAAGCCAGCTTGCTCTAGAGACCTCACGTCTCCAGCTTCCAAAGCTATGATTACAACCAGGCCACAGAGGTCTCCATAAGTTATAAACTGATTGGCCCATTAGCTCAGGCTTCGTATTAGCTCTTATAACATATATTAACCCATTATCCTTATCTATGTTAGCCACATGGCTCGGTACCTTTTTCAGCAGGGTAGATCACATCTTGCTTCTTCTGTGGTCCGTGCAGGACTGGGAAGAATTCCTTCTTCCCAGGATTCTCCTGTTCTCGTTGTGCCACCTCTACTTCCTGTCTGGTTGTCCCACCTATACTTCCTGCCTGGCTACCAACCAATCAACATTTATTTAAAACATAATTGACAGATATAAAATTGTTCCACCGCACCACCTATCCAGCATTTGCTGAGTCTCAGGGGACCTAAACTGGCAAGCACTTAACTGCTGAGCCATCTGCCCAGACAAACATTTGGATTCTTTAGTATGCTAGGGGTGCTTTCTGGAATGATTGGATTCTTGGAGATTCCAGCAGAAAAATGTCCATCCATATGGTCCAGACATCAGATCCCACACACCTGGAAACAGTGATACCCTTACATTTACACTGGTCACAAGCACTAAAGCAGAGACACACCTCACATGTAGTGCCTTTGATACAACCTCGTCCAAAAGGCAGCACTGCAAATGACCGCCCAAGCATTCCTATAAGTCAAGGAAGAATCCCCAATGTCTTCAGTGTTAAATACAAAAGGGGAGCAGCAGATACAGAAGGGAGGTATCACATATTTACCTCCAGGAGTGTGTTCTATCAGGATAAAGGACCTCAGGCAAAGAGTGGGCCTTGTTTGGAGAGAGCATTAGAAAGGAATAGTATATCGTGTTCGGGGTGGGAGGAGTCTTCAGAGAAAAAACGTGAATAAAGGAAACTATGGCTTCTCTATCCTGTTGGGGTAGCAGTAAACCCTACATCATGTTATTCCATTTGGGATAGCCTACTGGCAAGGAATATGGAAGAGCCAGGTAATAGGTAGGGCCATAAACTAAAGGCTGTGAAAACCACAGCATGAAGCAGCTTCTTAACACTGTGTCACAGAGGGAGCACTGCTTCAGGGTTGCCACACCAGCTCCAGTGTCATCTGTGTGACATGACTTATGTCATTAGGCCGGACGGGAGCTACGTGTCCCTCGGGGCTAGGCTTCCTGGCAGAGTGTTCAACCCCTGGCCTCATATCAGGCTATGGGTCTGTGTAGTCTCTTTTATGACTATGTTTTTTCTCATGTATTAATCGAGCAATATCTCTTGGGAGATGGCTGATAGATGGGGAGGGACTTGATGTCCCAGAGGAACATGACGACAATAGAAAGATAGAAATGGAGCCAACAGTATCGAGTCAGGAAATTAATGACCTACTTACGAATTTAAGTAATAGGTAATCATGGAACATTTCCACAAAAGATCCACCCATAATCAGGGCCTTGTGAAGGTGGTCTGGAAGCAAAATGAAACTTTTGGGGACATTCTCAATGGACTGCAACAGGAGGAACTGTTTGTGAAAAACCTAGATATACTTGATTGTAGTAGGAGAAGCAGGCTGCATCCTGCCTGCTGGCTAGCTTAACCTCCGAAATAACCACACAGAAATGGTATTAATTAAATTACTGCCTGGCCCATTAGTTCTAACCTCTTATTGGCTAACTCTCACATCTTGATTCAAGCCATTTCTAATAATCTGTATATCACCATGAGGTCGTGGATTACCGGGAAAGATTCAGCATGTCTGACCAGGTAGCTCCATGGTGGCTCTCTCTTCCTGCTTTCTTTCTCCCAGAATTTTCTGTCTCCCTGCCTACATAAGTTCTGCCCTATCAAAAGGCCAAGGCAGTTTATTTAACCAATGAAAGCAACACAAATGCAGAAGAACTTCCTACACCAGTTGATAGTGATGCCATAAAAGTCCAGGCACTTATTGGGAATGAACACTCAGAAAGAGTCCATTGGTAATTCCTGTTACAATGATGTATGGTAGAAAGCGTTCTTTAATTCAAGGAAGGTAGTGGGCTCCTCCAAAAAAAAAAAAAAAAAAAAAAGAAACAACTCTGGTATATTTTTTTTTGAAGCAGCATTTCTCTGTGTTGCCCTGGCCCAGGGTGGCCTCGAATTCAAGAGATCCATTTGCCTTTGCCTCCTAGTACTGAGATTAAAGGCATGAGCCACTACCGCCCGGCAAATTACGCTTTTTAAAAGAAAAAAGAAAGAAAGGGATTTGAGCAGCCAGGCATGACATTTGCACACTGGTCCACCAGCATGGGGATCTAGAGGCCTGCCCCCATCACATGGCCTTCCAGTACCTTCATAAATTTTATTTTGCTGCATGCTTTGATGTTGTAAAACACTGAATTGTGTCGCTTTAAACCTCCCCCACCCCACCCCCGGGTCTCAGCGTTTTAGGGAAACTCTGAAGGACCTTCAAGGCATCAACCCAACTCTGGATCTGAGCAATGAGGCTGTGCGGATTGGAGGGGCACCACGCCACCTAGTGGCCACGGTGAGAAGCACGGTACAGAGCACAGATGCTTCAACCACAGCTCCTGCTTCCTGGTCCCCCCCTCTTCCCTCCCTTCTTCTTTCCTTCTTTCCTTCTTCCGTTCTCTCTCCTTCCTCCATCTTCTCTCCTCTCTCCTCCCAGCTCCTCCTCCCCTTTTCATGAGTAGAGGATGAACCCAGGACCCATCACAAGCCAGACAAGCACTTTTCTCCTGAACCACACACACAGCTACAACTCCTTCCGCATTCCTTGAGATTTTGCGGAGTCGTGGCTCAAGGCAGACGGTCAGTGTGTACATCTCACTAAGTAACCCTGCTGGCTGGGCAGGACTATTCTCCTGCCTTAGGTTCCTTGGTCGTGGGACAGTGTTGCTTGATTATACTTTTGGGTTTTATTCTGATGTTGATAGGATCTAGATATGCAGGTCAGAATGGCTGAGGACTCTCCGTACTCCTGCCTCCTGCCTCCTCAAGGCTTGGATAGACGATGAGAACCATCACTTCCAGTCTCAATGTCCAGAGTTAATGTCCTCTTTTTCTGTCTGGTTGGGTCCATCTAGTTGCTATGTGCCTTAGTTTGCTTTCTTTTAAAAAAGATTTGTTTATTTATTTAGTGTGTATAGTGTTCTGCCTGCATGTCAGAAGAGGGCACCAGATCACATTATAGATGGTTGTGAACCACTATGTAGTTGCTGGAAATTGAACTCGGGGTTTCTGGAAGAACAGCCAGTATTCTTAACCTCTGAGCCATCTCTCCAGCCCCCCCCTTTTTAAATGATTTATTTATTTTTATGTGCATTGATGTTTAGTCTGTGTGAGGGTGTAGATCTCCTAGAGGTGGAGTTACAGGCAGCTGGGAGCTGCTATGAGGGTGCTGGGACTTAGTTTGCTTTCCACCATGACAAAGGCTGGGCAGTAGTGGTGCACACCTTTAATCCCAGCACTCAGGAGGCAGAGGCAGGTCGATCTCTGTGAGTTTGAGGCCAGCCTGGTCTACAGAGCTAGTTCCAGGACAGCTAGGGCTGTTATACAGAGAAACACTGCCTTGAACACCCTCCATCCCCAAGAAAAAAACCCACCATGACCAAAAGGATCTTGGTGAGGACAGGATTTGTTTGGTTACACATCCTTGATGTGGGAGTGATTTCTTATTAATAAAGAAACTGCCTTAGCCCATTTGATAGGCCCACCCTTAGGTGGGTGGAGTAAACAGAACAGGATGCTGGGAGAAAGAAGCTGAGTCATGGAGTCTCCATGATTCTTCCACTCCAGACAGACGCAGGTTAAGATCTTCTCTGGAAAGCCACCTCGTGGGCTACACAGATTATTAGAAATGGGTTAGATTAATATGTAAGAGCTAGCCAATAAGAGGCTACAGATAACAGGCCAGGCAGTGTTTAAAAGAATACAGTTTCCGTGTAATTATTTCGGGCATAAGATAGCCATGTGGGCGGCCGGGTGCCGGGGACACAGCCCCGCCGCTCTTATCACTACACATCCTGAATCACAGACCATTGAAGGAAGCCAAGGCAGAAACTCACTCAAGCAAGGCAGGAATCTGGAGGCAGGAGCTGAAGCAGAGACCATGGAGGGTGCTGCTTACTGCTTTGTTCCCCATGGCTTGCTCAGTCTGCTTTCTTATAGAACTCAGGACCACCAGCCCAGGACTGACGTTGTCCCTACACATCAATCAAGAAAATGTGCCTCAGGCTTGCCCACAAGCTCATCCAGAGGCATTTTCTCAGCTGTGGTTCCCTCTTCTCAGATAACTCTAGCTAGGGTCAAGCTGAGCAAAGTGACCAGGACACCGTGTGTCTTGTGGATGCTCATCTTTGAGGACACTGAGGACGTAAGAACAAATTTAGGGCTGGTGAGGGGACATGCTGGGCAGAGGCTGGCCATCAAGGCTGACTTGATTTTGATCCCTGGGATCAACATGGCAGAACACCTGACTGCCGAACGTTGTTCTCTGACCACAGGCACAATAGCTAAATACATTACTAGTAATAAATAAGTAATTTAAAAACAAACCTATTTAGTCTGACTGTTAAGATTTGCTAATGTGTACAAACACTCCACCACTGACGGTCAAGACACTCTGACCTTTTGTAGGCATGGTGATGCAGACATGTTATCACAGTTTTCTGGGAGGCTGAGGCAGAAGAATCACAAAACAGAGTGAATTCAAGGATAGGCCTTGTTCCAAAAGAAAAAGAAACAGGAGAAGTGGGAATATAGCTCAGGGGTAGAGCCCCTGCCTAGAACCCCCAGTGAGTGACTGGGCTGTGGCTCACAAATCAAGCCTCTGTAAGCCACTAATAGCAGTACAGACACTTTCACTTGAAATCCTGAGTTGAGCAATCTTACTTAAGCCTTGGGTCTCCTGTGAGTGATAACAGAAGCTTAAAAATGGCAGCATCACTAGGTAGTGGTGGCGCATGTCTATATCCCAGCACTCAGGAAGGAGAGGCCAGCCTGGCCTACAGAGTGGTTTCCAGGACACCTAGGGCTACACAGAAACCCTGACTTGAAAAACAAACAAAGAAACAAATGGCAGCATCAATTAGTGACAGAGCTGATAGCCCTGATGAGTTCTCATTCCCCCACTCAGCTCGATCACTATCAAAACAGCAGAGTAATTCGTATGTGGCCTGGCTAGTGAAGGTTACCCTGAGTGACTGTCTTTTACTAAGGTAAAATCTTACCTAAGCAAAATTACTGCCAAGGTCAGCAGAGGCTGGAAGTTTCACAGTCTTGTTGGCTGTTCTTTGTGGATTTTAGACGTTGGATCCAGGAGTCCTGGCCTGCGATGACTTCTTTCCTTTTTCTCCTTCTCCTCCTTCTCCTCCCCCTCCTCCTGCTTCTTCTTTTCTTTTTCCATCTCCTCTTTTTTCTTCTTCCTTCTCTTTTTTCTTCCTTCTCCTCCTCCTTCTTGGTGACAGGATTTCACTGTGTAGACCTCGCTGGCCTGGAACTCACTAAGTAGACAGGGCTGGCCTCAAACTCACAGGTACACACCTGCTTCTTTCTCTGGAGATTGCTGGGATCAAAGGCATGTGCACCATGCCCTGTGACTTTCCTAGAGAGAAATGAAGAGAGAAAGGTTTGTTCCCTCTTGATAGACACTGATCGCAGACCAAAGAAATCACTCTACCCAATCTAGTTCAGGGCACCAATGCGTTTATTGGGGTCACCTAGAGAGAATGGGTGACTCAAGGGAGCTCCCAAAGTTCACCCCAGGATGGTGGTCGAATCACAAAAGCTGTGCCACTTGCAGACAGCTTCATCTCATCGTCCCCACCCTAGAAGTTCTTACTGCTTCATAGCCTCGAGGAGGGGCCTTGCAAATCCTGTAAATTTGATGAGTTTCCTGAGACTTGTAAGTTTTGTTTATTTCCTTCATATATAATACGAACCTTCATCCTTCCTCTGGGAGTTTGGAGGAAATCACCAGACAACAATCCCTGCCCAACTGTAGAAATGTTAGTCATGGGTGAGACAGGTTGACTATTAGAGCTGTCGCTGTTCACTTTCTGTGGCTATAACACAGTGCTGTAGACTGATAAGTTATAAGGAAAAGAGGTTTATTTTGCTCTGTGGTTCTGTGAATACAAGGTTGAAGGGCCACATCTGTTAATGGTTCTTTTCTGGAATAGTCCAGGTTTGCCTCAACTCAATATGTACCAGAGAATAACCTTGGATGGCTTTTTAATTTATTTATTTTTTTGTTTGTTTGGTTGGTTTTTTTGAGACCTGGTTTCTCTGTAAATTTGGAGCCTGTCGACCAGGCTGGCCTCGAACTCACAGAGATCTACCTGCCTCTGCCTCCCGAGTGCTGGGATTAAAGGCGTGCGCCACCACTGCCCAGCGGCTTTTTAATTTGTATTTACCATTATTTTTCATGTGTGGCATGTATGTGTGTATGCATCTTTGCATGTATGTATGTGTGTGTGCACATGTGGAGGCCTGGGGTGATGTTAGGATTCCTCTTCCACTCCTCCACCTTATTCTAGATCACCGATGTGGCTAGTCTGTCTAGCCAGCTTGCTCTGGGGAATCTCATCTCTGCCTTTGGAGGCTGGATTAGAGGTGGGCTATCACAACCACCCAGCATTTGTGTGGGCTCTGGGGATCTGAACTCACATCATTCTGCTTATGTGGCAAGTACTTCAGGGCTGCAGCCATTTCTTCAGGCTGACTGTGAAATCTCAATCCTCCTGCCTCAAACTCTCCAGTGCTGGGGTGACAGGTGTTTTGATGGAGGAGGGTCATCTGTCTATCTGTTGCTTTCATTGGTTAATTAATAAAGAAACTGCTTGACCTGATAGATCGGAACATAGGCGGGTGGAGTAGACAGAACAAAATGCTGGGAAGAAGGGAAGTGAGGCAGATGCTATAGCTCTCCTCTCCAAGATGGACGCAGGTTAAGATCCTTCCAGGTAGGCCACCACCTCATGGTGCTACACTGATTAATAGAAATGGGTTAATCAAGATGTGAGAATTAGCCAATAAGAGGCTACAGATAACGGGCCAGGCAGTATTTAAAAGAATACAGTTTCCATGTAATTATTTCCGGTAAAGCTAGCCGTGTGGGAACCAGCCACAGCCCGCTGCTTCCTTTCACTACAGAGTGGTGCCCAACGTGGTAACAAACTCCATGTAAAACCTGAGAGAGCTTAACACAGCTTTTTGCTGTTTGCTAGGGTGTGCTGTAGAGAAATTTCTCTGACTCAGTAGCCATAACAGGAAAAAAGCTGCGGTTTTAAAATGCAGCTTCCTGGGCTGTGCCGCCAGCAAGGACTCCGGCTTTAAAGCATATCAATGGCCTTTAAGGGACTGGATGTTTGTGTTCCCACTCAGGATGGGAAAGAAAGAACTCTGAGACCATGTCAATGGCTCAGCGCTCCCCGCCTGCATCAGGCTTAGGCAGGCGGAAGAGCATGGCGGATTCCTGCCGCCATACAGAGAGGTGTTTCCGTGCTGCGCAGTGCTCTGCCTGTCAGATTTGGCTGTGACTTGGATGAAAAGAGTTTCTGTGCCGCACACTCAGTCTCAGAGTTAAAGTGCTGAGTGAGGCTCCTACCTGGTGACCCCAGAGCTAGCAAAAAAAAATGGTACGTCCTCCATTTTGAAATTGGAGAGAGGTGGAGGCAATATCCAGACCAGCCCGCTGCTCCTCACAACAGTGTTTCACCATGCACAGCCTAATACACCTGCGCTCCTACTTAAATAATTTACAAAACATTTATTATGTGTCTATGTGCCATATCTGTGTGCTATATCTGCCCAAGGAGGCCGGAGGAGAATTAGATCTCCTGGAGCTGGTGTTACAGATGGCTGTGTGTGTGAAGTGGGTGCTGGGAACCCAACACAGGTCCTGACAGGACCAGCAGGTGCTCCAAACGGCCAACTCACCCGCTTTCCCCTTCATGCATTATTATTACTATTATTATCATTTTTTTTTTGAGAGAGGATTTCTCAGGGTAGTCCTGGTTGTTCTGGAACTCACTCTGTAGACCAGGCTGGCCTTGAACTCACAGAGATCCACCTGCCTTTGTTTTCTGAGTGCTGAAATTAAAGGTATGTGCCCCCACTGCCTGACTAAATGTATTTTTTGAGGCAGCTTCTTGCTATGTGTCCCATGATGGCAGAAACTTGAGGTGCCCTTCCTGTCTTAGCGCCCCTGTACCAGTGCAGGGATGACATGCATGCACCCCGAGCTGAAGAACAACTGCCTTGGCGCCCCTGTACTAGTGCAGGGATGACAGGCATGCACCTGAGCTGGGGTACAACTGCTTTGGCGCCCTTGTACGGGAGCGCAGGGATGACAGGCATGCACCCGAGCTGGAGTGTAACTGCCTTGGCGCCCCTATACGGGAGTACAGGGATGAGAGGCATGCACCTGAGCAGGGGTACAACTGCCTTGGCGCCCCTGTACTAGTGCAGGGATGACAGGCATGCACCCCGAGCTGGGGTACAACTGCCTTGGCGCCCTTGTATGGGAGTGCAGGGATGACAGGCATGCACCCCGAGCTGGAGTGTAACTTCTAGTTTTCACACAGAAGGGAGAAGTGCACCCTGGAGGAGGCAGCTGGCCAGTTGCAGTAAACCACGCATGTATCCAGCCTTACAGAAGGACTCCTGGGAAAACCAGCACCCCAGAACGTCACTGCTTCACCCTGAAGTCTGCTCTGCCCATGGCCTTGACGAAGGCCATTCGGACTTCTCTGTTCCTCAGGCTGTAGATGAGGGGGTTGAGGGTGGGTGTGATGAGGCTGTAGAAGAGGGATACCATGTTGTCCTGTTGTGGGCTGTGGTAGCTGCCCGGGACCATGTACATGAACACGGCTGCCCCGTAAAATAGACCCACTACAGCCATGTGTGACGAGCATGTGGTGAAAGCCTTGTGTCTAGCTTCGGCTGAGTGCATGCGCAGCACAGCCCCCAGAACATGGCCGTAGGAGGTAAAGACGAGAGACAGGGGCAACAGTAAGATCAGCACCCCGGAGATGGATAGTGCCAACTCATAGGCGGATGTGTCTGCGCATGACAGCTTGAGGAGAGCTGGAAGCTCACAGAAGAAGTGATCCACCGTGTGTGAGGCACAGTAGGGGAACCTCAGGGTGATGGAGGTCAGGGTGGAGGCCACAAGCTCACCTGAGAACCAGGATGCGCCCACCATCACCAGACACACCTGGCCTCGCATGAGCACCTGGTAATGCAGGGGGTGGCACACAGCCACGTAGCGGTCATAAGACATGAAGGAAAGAAGGACGCCCTCAGAGACACCCATGAGCATGAGGAAGAACATCTGGGTGGCGCATCCCCCGAAGGTTATGGCGTTTCTTTCCTGCAGGAAGTCAGCCACCATCTTGGGGATGGTGACCAGTGGGAAGCCAATATCCAGAAGTGAGAGCTGGCTGAGCAGGAAGTACATGGGTATGTGGAGTCTGGAGTCTGTGGCGATCAGGAAAATCAGTATGGTGTTGCCTAGCAGTCCTGTGGTGAACATGGTGGCCACGAGGAAGAAGAGGATGAGATGAGGTCCTGTGTGACTGAAGAGCCCCACGAGTGTAAAATCTGAGGTTGTTGACACATTTGATGCCCCCATCCTCCCAGAGTGCATCACTGTCTAGGGAAGTGCAGGTGATTTGGTAAAGGGTCCCAGTGGGATAATTTTACATCATACTGCAACTGTTCGGTGGAGGCCCTCCCCCTCCCCCACTGGAGTCTCACTAGGAAGGGGATGAAAATTTATGAATAAATTCAGGTTCAGCTCAAGTTAGGGGCTGGGTGTGTGGCTCAGGGATGGAGCCCCTGCCTAGAATCCCCCAGTGAGGAGCTGGGGGTGTGGCTCAGAAGTAGAGCCTCTGCCTAGAATCCACTTGTGACAGAACACAGAGAATTCCACCCTGGTATCTGAAAGATACCATCACGGTACCTCTCAAGCAAGCACAACGTAACAATATTTACAACTGAAGTCCGTCACTAAGCTAAAGTGCACAAGACAGCTCCACAGTGGGAGATCAGAGGACACAGCTCACCAGACCCCTGGGGCTGAATCATGCGTGGGATTTTGAAGAGGTCAAGATTCGACGTAGGGAGACCTTGCCCAAGATGACATAGGTAGATCAAGACATGTCTGGGCCCGTGAAGAGAGGCTCATTTCCATACCGTTGTCAGAGAGAAGATCTGAAAATCAATAACAGCCGGAAATGGAATATTTGGGATGGTTCAAGAGAGACAGAGAGTCTGCAGGTTGGACTAAGTGTTCCCAGTGATAGAGGAGATACAGTATCAGCCTGCTTATTAAGTTTCTGTTGTGTGTATGTGTATGTGTGTGTATGCATGTATATGTGTGCATAGTGTGTGTGTGTGTGTGTGTGTGTGTGTGTGTGTGTAGGCTAGATGTCAATATGGGGTGTTGTTTCTCAGGGGCTGTATTCTCCATTTTGGTTTTTGATATGAGGTCTTTCCCCACTTGGAGCTCCCCAAGCAGTCTAGCATGTCAGCAAGTCAGGGAACGAGCCTGGTTTTGTCTCCCCAGAGGTGGGATTATAAACTTCTGCTGCCATGTCTGTTTTTTTCTCTCTATCCTACTCCTTCTCCGTCTCCCTCTCCCTCTCCTCCTCCCTGGTTATGCATACATACACACGTAGTAGCCAGAGAGCAACTTGGAGGAGTCAGTTCTTTCTCACAATTCATATCTCAGGGGCTGAATTCAGTCCTCATGTTTGTATATCGAACATTTTATAACAGAGTCCTCTCCCAGCCCACAGTTAGCTCAGGGCAGATGCATTATGTTTAGTGTATAAACGCATGGCCACACATCCAGCAGCCTCCCTTCCCCTCGATCTCAGAGCACCTGGCAGTGGTGTTTATACTTCTCACCTCCAGCACTGAACACGTCTGTGTTGAAGATGCACCTGTTATGGTTGGTGGGGACACACCCAGAAACACAGGCATGCTGGCCTTTGGAGCACAGGACAGACACCTGCTTTGCCATGTGTCCACAGGAGGTGAGACCCGTGGACGTAAGGGTCTTCCTGCAGACCACATGACACCCAGATCACCATGCCTTTACCCTGGATCCCTCCAGCCTCTCTGTCTTGTTTTTGTCTAACACAGTTTTTCTAAGCTTTATCAGAGACCTCTGGCTTAGGGCTAGAGAGATGGCTCTGTTAAGGGTATGTGCTGGTCTACCAGAAGACCCGAGTTTGGTTCCTGGAACCCACACCAGGTGGTTCCCAATCCCTTGTATCTCCAGCACCAGGGGATCAGACACCTCTGGTCTCTGAGAGCACACACACATACACACACACACACACACACACACACACAATATAAAATGAATAAATTGACTATAATAATAATAACTTTTGGCAAAGACCTAGTGAGATGGGTCAGAGGGTGGAGATGCTTGGTGACAAGTTTGAGTTCAAGCCCTGAGAAACAACATGGTGGCAGGAGAGAACCGGCTCCTGCAAGCTGTCTTAGGACTTCACACCTTTGTCAAGGTGGGTATCCCCCACCAAAGCCTCTGGTCGCATTTCCTTTGCTTAACTGCTGTCCACTCTCCACTTCTGTCTCTTTTGTCTTGTTCTATTTGAACTTTCAACTTCAAGTCATTGAATGCATTGGCTTCTTACCATTGCCTTTTGATTACCCTTTCCCAAGCCGTTCTGCCATGCAGCTATTTCTTCCCAATTTAAACATTCCCACTGAAGACTCCCAAGCCCAGGAAGTGCAGCCAAGACTGAAAAGGCTCCATCGCAGTTTTAGAAGCAGTGAAGTGTTAGCGCTGGCCGTGGGTGGGGAGGCAAGACACACATGATGGGGCGGGACAGACGCTGACAGTGACAGGACATGACATCAATGACAACTCCAGAGAGGTGCCACCCAGTGTGGGTGAGGCTTCCGGAAACGCTGCTGTCTGAGTCCTCTATACTTATGTTTGATCCCCCAAGAAATATTAGGTCTGTGTTTGGGTTTCTTTCCTTTCCTTCCTTCCTTCCTTCCTTCCTTCCTTTCTTCCTCTCTCCCCCTTTTCCCCCTCTCTTTCTTTTTATAATTTTTTGAGACAGGGTTTCTCTGTGTGGCCCTGTCTGTCCTGAAATTTGCTCTGTGGACTTGGCTGGCCTTGAACACACAGAGATCCACCTGCCTCTGAGTTCCAAGTGCTAAGATTGAAGGTGTGTGCCATCATAACATGACTCAACATAGATTTTTTTTATTCCTTTTCTTTTTAGAAGTATTTGTTTTGAAGTGATTACTCTCAGTAATCAACTGTCATGGGACAATGGTCTTGTACCCTGTAAAGATTGATCACTTGTATTGGTTTAATAAAATACTGGTTGGCCAGCAACAAGGCAGGAAGTGTAGGCAGGGCTACCAGAAGAGGAGAATTCTGGAAAGAGGAAATGCTCAGTCTGCAGTCATCACCCAAACACAGAGAAAGCAAGATGACACTGTGTCACTGATAAAAGTACCAAGCCACGTGGCTAACACAGAGAGATTTATGGGTTAATGTAAGATATAAGAGTTAGTTAATAAGAAACCCTGAGCTAATAGAATTGTGGGTTAATATAAGATGTAAGAATTAGTTAGTAAGAAAGCCTGAGCTAATAGAATTATGGGTTAATGTAAGATGTAAGAGTTAGTTAATAAGAAAGCCTGAGCTAATAGAATTATGGGTTAATATAAGATGTAAGAGTTAGTTAATAAGAAAGCCTGAGCTAATAGAATTATGGGTTAATGTAAGATGTAAGAGTTAGTTAATAAGAAAGCCTGAGCTAATAGGCCAACCAGTTTATATTAATGTAGGCCTCTGTGTGTTTCTTTGGGACTGAATGGCTGCAGGACTGGGTAGGACAGAAACCTCTGTCAACAATCAACCACTTGTCTCTCATGGTAAATGACTGAATGGAAAGAAAAGGCTTAAAATTTATGTAAATTGTAAGGGTCTAAGTAATTTAAGGGCTGGAGAGGTGGCTCAGATGTTAAGAGCATTGGCTGCTCTTCCAGACATCCTGGGTTCAATTCCCAGCAAACACATCCCAGGTCACAGATCTGGTGCTCTCCTCTGGCCTGCAAGCATACATGCAGGCAGAACACTATACTTAATAAATAAATACATCTTTAAAAAAAGAAAGTAATTTAAGGTATCTAAATGTATAATGTAAAGGCATAAGAATGTGATTTAAGGTATATAAAAAATTAGAAATGTTTCAGATTTCTTCCCCTCTGTGCTATTGTTATATATACTAAGACTTCAAATCATTCAGTCTCTTGGTAACAGTTATTTACTCTTACAATGTCTTAGCCACTGAAGGAGGCCTGGAAACCTGGGGTCAGGGCAGGAGATATAATTCTCTGGTCTAGAGTGCTTGCTGTTCTTGTCAGAGACTGGAGTTAGGTTCCCAGCACCCACATGGTGACTTCAAACTGCCTGCAACTCCAGTTACAGGGGACCCAGTGCCTTCTTCTGGCCTCTTGGAGCACTGCACATGTGTACACATACCCACAAACAGATACACCCACATACACATGAAAAATAAATCTAAAACATAAAAGAAACCTGGGGGTGAAAAAGACAGAGATGATCTGGAAGGCCCAGAGCCCCTTTGGGGAGATAAGAACAAGAAAACAATAAATAAATAAATAAATAAATAAATAAATAAATAAATATCCACTGTCTTCTTCCATAAATACAACAAATGAGATTCGTCAATTTGGAAAGTACTTATACAGCAGAGGGAATGAAACAGACCTGCAGTGGGAATAAGTGGCCCATGGCATGGGAAGTCTTTGCCAGCATTTGCCTGGCAAATCAAACAAGGAAACAAAGCAGCCAGTGCACACGGGCGAGGGTTGAACAGTTAGTTCTCAGAAGAAGACAAGAGATCTGTACATCCCTGAGAATAGTATTGAGCCTCTCAGAAAAATACATATCGAAAAGTCCATTGAGAAGTGGGTGTGGAGGCACAGCAAGATGGGCACCCTGTGGAAGGTTTCTCTGAGATGAGAACTTCCTGGCCCCTAGGGGAACCCTTAGTCAAGCACAGGAAGTAAACAAACTCAAACTTCAGGAAGTCCTCCAAAGCAACAAGGTTGACTAGACCCCTCCTTCCTCAAGTGGGCATAAGGTATTAGACCTGTTGAGAAACAGAGACCAGCTGAGCTCATGGAAGAGGTTCAGCCCATCTGAGGCACCTAGAAGGACTCTCTCCAACCTGTCAGGCTGCCTGCAGGCTGTGCAGTACACTCCAGGCCCCTGGCTTTGTGAGCTGTCACACATGCTGGGGTGGGCTTTGGTGATGCAGCTGTCTGTGAATCATTTCTGCTCATGTAGGGAACCTCAATAAAACTTGTGGTCCAACAAGTTGGACTTCGGTGGACAAGTTGGCTGCAATTTGTCCTGTTGTGAGTTTCCTATCTGGAGTAACAGGAAACTATTTGTTCATGTCCCCAGTAATAATTTCACACAATGCTTGTCATCTCAGCACTCAGCAGATGGAGGCTGAGTTCAAAACCAGTCTCAGCCATGTGAGACTTTGACTCCAAACTGAAATCAAAAAAGTAACATGGAGACTCACCCTAGAGAGAGTGGCTCTAACCAAGAAAACAACAGATGCTAGTGACAAGGAGAAGACCCACTATGGGGTCCAAACCAGCACAGCCACCATAGCAACCAGTCTGGGGGTCTTGAACTAGAGCTAGAACTCCTGTGTGACCTAGCTGTGCCCTCAGGATTTATCCAATAAAATCAAGGGTAGCAGGGCCTGTCTGCCATATGTGCAGTTATATCTGGAACTTCCTCACATAACAATACGTAGAGTCACCTTGGAATCTCGGAGCTCTGGTAGTGGTGGAATATCCAAAGAAAACAAAATCAGTGTGTGGAAGACATATATGAACTCCCAAGATCATTGTATCACAGGCAAAGGAACTGACAGAAAGAACTAAGTGTCCACAGACACATGAGGAACAAAAGGAAATTGCATGCATAGGATGTACATTTATAATGAAATATTATTCAGTCACAGAAAGGACACCCCGCCATTTGGAACGGTGTGGATTGACCTTGAGAATGTGTTGTTAAGTGCTATAACATAGGCACAAAAAGGCAATTAATGCCACTGTAATGATCTGTCCTGTTCCTTTAAGAGACAAACACTGTCTACTCCCTCCACTGGTCACCGCTGAGGCAGATGGATCTTCCTTCTGCTTCCAGTTTGAGCTCTTCCTTTCTATCTCTCTCCCAAAGAAGTAGCTGCTGCCATGGCTCCTCTCCCCCCCCCAACTCTGGTTCTCTGTCTGTCTGTTTGTCTGTCTCTCTTTCTCTGTCGCTCTCTGCTCTTCCTCCTTCTCCTCTTCTCCCCTTTCCTTTCAATAACACACTAAATAAATATCCAACCTCACTCTGTATGGTATGCCTACAGAGTGAATTTGATTTGGGGGAGCCAGGGTCCTTCAGACTTTTTTGTCTCCTTTCTTTTCTGTTCTTTTCTTTTTGACCACTTGTAAGTCATCCCCGCTGTGAGAGACTGCTCAGAGCGGCCCCTAGCTTCTTTGGCTTCCAAGTTGCCCAGACCGGAGCCAGTCAGGCTTTAACATTGCACCTGTAGAGAGAAGACGCTCTCCTACAGACCCTGCGGTGTTCGCCGCCATTTCACACCCTGTCTATAGAGAGAGGATACTCTTCTATGGGACATGTGGTATTTTTCATGAGTTTTTACATTTTCAGCTATGGTATAAACCCTCAAACTATGCTCCACCAGTGTCCCACCAGCTCCACTTTTCCCAAACTGTTCCTGCCACTGCTACTGCCAAGATTGGTCGGATTCACAAGGCAGCTGTTTTCAATTCCAGCCTTTGCTCTCTGCTGCTGCTTGTGGCATGGTGGCTCAGCAACAGGGTGGATCACACCTCTGGGTCTCTCTTCCATACAACATGTGACCACTGCCACTTTGACTGAAGTCAGGTGACCTTAGCACCATCTTAACTGAGGTCAGGTCACTTCACCACCATCTTAATTGAGAGCCTGATCAGGTGACCAAGTTCAGCCATCTTTATTGAGGTATTCCATGTCTGGTTCCCTGGTGTTGACTCTGTTACCTGTGTGTTTTGTGCAGCCGCATGCCTTTGGTAGGGCCCACCAAGAGCATCCACTTCACCCAATTCCTGTCACTCTGTATGTGTGTACACACATGTAACTTAAATGTACCTATGTACATATGTATTTTCTGTTAAATGTTATAATTGTCTGTTCATTGTATCTCATTCCAGACTACAAAGCAGTAAGTTTTAAATTGGAATGTACTTTCAAGTCTCTTACAAAAAAATACTATATATGTAATTCAACCCTGATTTAAAATATATTAAGCTGTTCTCTACTATTGTCAGTTCTGGCATTTACTTTCTATGGCAAGCAGTTTTTACTTCTTTCTGTCTTTTTACAAGTGTAAATATCACCTGTTAAGTTGAGAGCCAGTATAGTCAAGCTCAGACCCAGCTCTCCAGACAGATTCTATAACTTATCTATACCCAGTAAACAGTCCTTAACTGCTCAGCGATCTGGGGAATATGCCATTTAAATATTTAAATATTAAAAAACTTTCCATAACAAAAAGAGACAGGTTGGCTCCTAGCAGCAGCACTCTACTTCCTCCAAAGAAGACAGAAGGCAGATGGGAACAGAACAACGTCCATCAACAATTCACTTCAACTGCCAAGTGCTGACCACTGGGATAAACTGTTTTTCTTCTAAACTGAAGATTTCCAGACAGTGGAAAGAATCGTTGGAATTGACAGCTTAGCTGCTCAGGTCAAGATAGGCTTTTTTTCCTATAGATTAGCTCACAGGATTTTCTAGAGCCTGGCAGGCCATGTGCAAAACAGCAAAAGGCAAATATGACCCTCAGCAACCATGGAGGACTCCGAGGAGTAGCTCTGGGTGCCAACCAAGTAAGTTCTCTGTTGTTTTAAATCAGTAACTCAAGTAAAAATTTATCCTTCTCAAAGATCTCTGATGCAGTTTGACAGCTGAGAGGTTTTGTTGTTTAAAAGGGCAGCCTCACCAAACAGATTTCATGTACAAGTTATCAAATCTCTCTCACGCTGCCTTCCGTAGTTTTGAAGATACTTTTCATTATGCAAAAACGTCTGTCACAGTCATTCCGATTTAGGTATGCTACTGTCTGTTTTCACAGTCCCAAAGAATTCTTGTGAGTTCCAGGGAGCCGAATTGAAGGATCCACCTTAAACAGGTCAGATACACCCCTCTGAATTCCCTGTTCCTAATTTTCCCCCCTAAACTTAACTTTGTCCTTTCTTCTGCCAATACCTTAAACAGATGTAAGAAACACCAGAAATTTCCATACCACAAACACTAGACAGGGGCAAAGAGACCAGCTATGCCAGGATGTGACCAGCTCCCAGCTTTCTCACGTCCCCCCCCAAGACTATGCCCACAAATAAGCAGGAAGTAGTCTTGAAAATCCATCGCCCCAATTCCTTTAACCTGTTGTGCCTAACCTCCTGCTTTTTTATTATTAAAAAAAGAGATGGAAATGTAATGATCTATCCTGTCCCTTTAAGAGACGAGCCACGCCCACTCCCTCTCCCCACCTGCTGAGGCAGGCACATCTTCCTTCTGCATCCAGTCTGAGCCCTTTCTTTCCATCTCGCTCCCAAAGAGGTAGCTGCTGCTATTGCTCATGTCCTCGCCCACTCTCTCTCTGCTTCTCTCTCTGTCTCTCTCTGTTTCTCTCTCTGTCTCTCTCTCTGTCTCTCTCTCTCTGCCTCTCTCTGTTCTTCCCCATTATCCCATTCTCCCCTTTCCCTTCCATAATCCACTAAATAAAGATCCAGCCTCACTCTGCACGGTGTGCCTCTGTCTATCACTCACCACATGTCTCCCTGCCTGGGACTTGCTGCTCTCAATCTCTCACCCACCATGTGGCTCCCTACCTGAGATTCACTGCCTCTCGTGGCCCTCACTGTGGGATTTTATTTAAACCATTACAGCCACTATCACTTATATGTGGAATCTGGAGCAGCTGAATAAACAGAAAATTGGGTTGAATGTAGTAGATCATGCATATAACCTCAGTACTCAGGAAGCTGAGGCAGGAGTCATGAGTTTGAGGCTCACCTGGGCTACAGTGTGAGACTCTGTCTCAGAGAACAACAGCTGACAGCAACCAACCAACTATTAACAACAGGAGGACAAACCAAACCAAGCAATCAACCAATCATAAGAACAACAAAACCTCAATTCAACCTACCAACCAATCAACTGATCAACCAACCTACTGACCAATCAACCAACCGATTAACCAACTACTAACCAGCCAATCACATCAGTAAAGCCTCCATGGAGATGGAAATGTGGCACAGTGGTTAGAGCGCTGGCTGCTCTTGCAGAGGACCTGGTTTATTCCCAGCACCCACAGGACACTCACAACCATCTGTAACCTCAGTCCCAGGAGATCCAGTGCTCTCTTCTGGCCTCTGAGGGCACCAGGCACACAGATATAAATGTAGGCAAAACACTCATACACATGAAATGATGAAATGAAATAAAGTCAACAAATCCTAAAAACAAAAACCAAACCCACAAAACATCCCCAATCTAAACAACTGGCTGATCTTCCTACTGTCCAACCAACCAAGTAACCAACGATGAGAACAGAGCAGTAAATGGAACAGAGGTCACCAGGGGCCTGAATCTGCAGATGCTGGCTAGCTGATTCTTTCTCAGCCACTCTGGGCTCTGGTGCACAACCTAGAAGGAGAACAATGTGTTAATTAAACTGCTTTAATGACTATGACCATATGTAAATCAGAAAGATGAATGTCTTAATATATACAACCTTATCTCTCAATTAAATATTAAAAGGATCAAATAAGCTAAAACCTTGGATTATTATTAAAACTTGAGCTTCCACAGTGGTGTCTGTCTTATCAAATCCCTGGACAATGTACAATGTTGAGGAAGGATGGGGAAGAAGGGGCAGTTACTGGAATGTATGAAGCGGGAAGGAGTCTGACTAAGAAGTCTGGCTGGAAGCAAGAACCTTGACACAGTTATCAGCTGCTTCTTTGACTGTGGGAAACCTCAGTTTTCCAGGAATCTCACCAGGAACTCCATCTACACATCCTCACTTCCCTGTGCAACCCCAGTGGCCTCTGGTTTTATCAGATTATAGTTTCATCCAAGGTGGCCTGGAGCCATCTCCCTTATCAAGATGGTGGTGATGGGGGGGGGGGAGAGAAGTTTCCTAGCAACTCTCTGAGTTGGTGTTTGAGAGCCGCCAAACTGGCTTACACAGCCAATGCTGGGAACTTAACTGAGACTCCTGTGAGTTCTTCCCCACCTCATTTCTGTTCTGAGAGGTTCCCCCTTTTTTCTTAATCTTCATGGTTAAGAATAATGGCAGAAATATCTCTTAGTGAATTGTGTTTGGTGATATTTTATTTATGTTTTAATAAATAAAGCTTACCTAAGGATCAGAATGGCAAAACGAAGCCCATAGAGACCAGGCAGTGGTGGCACACACCTTTAATCCCAGGATTTTGGAGAGGCAGATGGATCTCTGTATATTCAAGGCCACCCTGGGCTACACAAGATCAATGCTGAAAACAAATCCAGGTAGTGATGGCTCACACCTTTAATCCCAGTACTAGGGAGTTTTGCGCCTTTAATCCCAGCACTAGAGGGAATATAAAATGGGAGGAGAGGTTTAGTCTGCTTAGTCTGTTTAGTCTGCGGTCACCCAGCCTTGGTAGAGGTAAGACTTCCTCTAGTGGCTTGGCTGCTTTGCTTTCCTGATTTTTGGGTTGAACCGTAATATCTGCCTCTAGGTTTTTATTATTTGTGCTACAATTGTGGCTTTTGCAGAGAAGCCCACACCCATGCCAACCTGTCTGCATTAATTCTTCTCTTAAGGAGCTTTCTAGTTTTAAAAAGAGAAATAATTATTATTGGTGTTGTACATGCTGTGTATCCGTGTGCAACCTTGCCTGTGTGGGTGAGGAGGTCTGAGCACAATGTCGAGCAGTCCGTTCTCTCCTTCCACAGATTGCCACAGGCTTGTCACGATGCCTTTACCCACACAGGGTTTTCTGTGTAACATTCCTGGCTGTCCTGAAACTCACTTTGTAGACCAGGCTGGCCTTGAACTCATAGAGATCTGCCTGCCAAGTGCTGTGATTAAAGGCATGTGCCACCACTGCCAAGCCTTTTTCTGTTTTTAAGAAGATCCCCAACTCAAATCCAAGTTCTGGGTTTTCCTAAGTAGAGGACTCTAAAAGGTGAAGAGAATGTAGGTTGGAGAGTGGGTCATTGATTAAGAGTAGATATACTCCTCGGATGGCTCACAAATTTCTATAACTCCAGCTCCAGGGAATCCTAAGAGGTGGATCTGTAGGACCCAGCCATGACAAGCTCAATAGAGCCCTGAGTCTCGTAGTTTACCCTAAGGCAACACCTTTTTCCAAGAAAGACCACAAACTGAGACCACCCAGACACCACCCAGGAACAGACAATCCAAAGGAAATTCCTAATGTTCCAACCACTGTAGACAGGATCACCTGCCAGCACACACCCATTGCTTTTCACCAGGACACCCCTAGACAAATGTCAACCAATCATGGTCCTGAATCTTAAAAATCCCTTACCCCAACCTCTGGTATAAGAACCTCACCCCAACTGAGCTCGAGATTCTCTGATCGTGACAATACTTTGGACACAGGGAGTCTGAGTTTGAACTTGAATAGGAATAAAGGCTCTTTGTTTTTGCTTTTACATACAGAAGACTGTCTTCTAGTTGGTTTTGGGGGGATTCTGTAGTCTGGTCAGAGCAATACCCTCTTTCAGCTTCTGAAGGCACTGTACCCCCCCACACACACCCACACACAATCAGTCAATCAAAAATCCTTACAGAAAAGAGGAAGGGGACTCCTGGCCACTGTGAGTGACTTGGGGTTGTGGTTCTGTCCCCTCCCTGCTGGTAACAGAAAGGCCATTTAACGTGGTTTGTTGACTCCGAGAGTTCGATGGGGTGCAGGTAGGTAAGCAAATTACTTTCCAGTGGTAAGTAAAGGTGGCAGTGGTAGGGGAAACCTTGGTGCTTCAGTCCCCAGGAAGGGCCCGCACCGGGCTTTGTGTGACAGATTAGTAGGTTCCAAAACACGTCGGAGTGGGCAGAACCAGTTCTCCTTGTATACACTAGGAGACAGCTGCCTTGTACCAGGTGGGTGAATCTCTGTCTGCACACTACAAGACGCTGTACCTGGGACGTTCTAATCTGCAGAGCAGCCAGAGACCCAGAGACAGTGAGTGGTTCCATCCCAGAGCTCTCCCTTGTCCCAGTCCACTGCCCATTGCAAGTTCCCACATGGTCAATTCCTCTGTCCATCCTGCATGCACTGCCAGTGTCCATCACAAGCACCTAAGCCTGCCCATCCTCTTCAACTGTCAATCACAAGTCTCAGCCCACAGCACCCACTTCAGCTGTCAATCACGGTACTCAAGACTGCTGCTTTGTGGCCAGCTACCAGACCCAGTGTCTTCCCCATGCTCTGGCCATGCTTCAGAGTTCCCACACCCTGTGGTTCTGTCTGTTTGCACTGGGAGGTGCAGAGCTCCTGGTCTCACTATACACAGTACTCACAAAGTGGGTCAAGGGTCCTTAGAGCCATTCTGGGCCAGGAATGTGGGGGAAGATGAGGGTTTCTAAGCCCCAAAGGGAAAAGAAGTTCTACTTTCCATGGTGTGTATGCTTTGAGGAGAAAACTGTGGACCAGAGACTAGGGATAGATCAACACATGGTGTCACAGGAGACGCTGGAAGGCCAGTGAGTGATGTGGGAAGACAGTAAGGAGGTTCTGCCTATCGCTGTGAGCTCAGCTGAGAAGGCCCCTGGGCTTAGCTGGTGCTAGCCCATCTCTCTTGGGATCTGAGCAGGTTATGTACCCCCTAGGATTCAGTTTACCCCAAGTTAGATGACGGTAAAAAGTCCCTTCCTCACCAACACTGAGGATCCAATAACTGCCCTCCCTATGTCTTGCTGTGCCTCCCGGTTAACCTTGACTCATTCCACAGTCCCCCAGGATGCTGGGGTCACAGGTATGACCCACCATACCTGGAGAAGGAGCTTACACTCTTGAATCAAGTTCTGAAGTATTATTTATATCGTAAAAGAAATGTAAACATTCAAATAGTTGGTAGGATGCAGCTCAGTAGATGAGTGAGGGCTTGCTTACCATGCTGGAAGCCCGGGATCCCATCCCCAGACCATAAAAAGACCAACGACTTTCTCCACAGCAAGTAACCGCAATAAGGATGCGTTGGTTTGGGTTGGGGCATTTCTGAACCTGGCACCACTGACATTTTTAAGGTGGGTGCAGGCTGGCAAGATGGCTCAGTGGGTAAAGGTGCTTGCCACCGAGACTGAAGACCTGAGTTTGATCCTTGAACTAAGTCGAGCCCACTTCCGCAGGTGTACCCTTGCTCTCCTGCCTCAATAACACCGCTTTTAGCCTCTCTGTTTAATGTTTCTCTCCGTGGGGAGATTGTTCATGAAGTAAAGGGCATCACCTCCAAGCCTGAGGGTCTGAGTTAGATCCTCAGAACCCACTCCCAAAGTTGTCCTCTGACCTCCATGTTTGCTGTGACTTTAAATAAGACACTGCCTCCCCATCCATGTCCCTGCTCCCAGCTCCCTTCCCTGGAGAACTCACCTGGATCTGTCCTGGAGACTCCCAGCTGATGAATGTAGGGTCACAGACAGTGGTCCAGGCTCAGTCTTGAGAAAGGAGTATGTAGGTGGGCTCTGGTTTACCTCTGAGAGTTTAGACTCAAGAACAGGACTTGAATTCAGCACTGCTGGCTTCAGGGTGTTGGGTCCCTGCCTGTGAAGACCAGCTGGGGATGTCTCAATGACTTCCTGTTGTCTCCTGGAATGTTTGGGTGGCCCCACTGCTAGTCTAGGAAAGTGCACCCCACCAGGGTCTGGAATCTCTTGCAGGTTGCTTTTTAATAGGATTTATTTTTTTAGCTGGTGTGTGTGTGTGTGTGTGTGTGTGTGTGTGTGTGTGTGTGTGTAGTACCTTTGGAGGCCAGAAGAGGGCATTGGATTCCCTGGAGCTGGAGTTACAGGAAGTTGTGAGGTGGCCTGATGTGGGTGTTGGTAATTGAACTCAGGTCCCCTGCAAAGAGCTGTAAATGCTCTTAACTTCTGAGCCATCTCTCCAGCCCTTGTGATGTCATCTTTGTGTTTCAAAGTTGCTTAGAAAATTAGCGCTTCTCTCCAGTAAGCCCACCCCTGTGATAGGCTGGCCTGGGACAGTGCTTTCCTTTTATAACTTCCTTGTTGTTTGAAGTATGTGTGTAGGTCAGAGCACAACTTTTTGGAGTTAGTTCTTACCTTCCACATTTATGTGGGTTCTGGAGATCCAACTCAGGTTGTTGGTTTTGTCAGGTAAACACCTTTACTCACTCATGGCCCCTCCCCACATCCCCAGGTTCCTCAGAAGAGTCCCTGCCTCAAGCCCAGGTCCAGGGTTTCTGCCAGTGAGCTACACCCACAGCACTCTTTGGACTCATCACTACTCCCCCGTGTCTCTGTCTCTTTCTCCCCTTCCCCTCTCTCTCACATAAATGACGGCAGGAGAAGGTGTGCCACAGCCCACAGGTCAGATTATGACTTGCTGGGACCAGCTCTCTCCTTCCAACACAGGAGCCCTGGGACCAACCACAGCCACAGGCCTGCATAGCGAGCCCCGTGACCCTGGAGCCTTCTTGATGCTCCCTCCCTTTTTTCCCTACTGTTTGAAACAGGATCTCAAAACTTTCCCAGGCTTGTTGAACCGCTTTCTGTGCATCAGGC